CGACTATGAACCTTTTGTCTGGATATATAAATGCCAGTACGTGCCACGGCGACTATACCATCTGTGTTCGAACGATTATATTGCCCATCGAATCCGAAATCCAAGGACGCCTACCTTGATTGCGACTACTAGCGAATGCAGGACGACGTGACGAACCGCACCTTACCTTTAACACATACCCCTACCGACGACTTTCCCCAGCCGGACTCGATTATTCGTGGTGGATTTGGGGAAGAAAATACACTGGCTGATGCGATACCTCCTTTTCATTATTCCCTATTTATTGTTTCCCCGTTTCTTGTTTTTTCTCGCACCTGCAAAATTCTCTGCACCATAGTTTCCCCTTTTCTGACACAACGCGGGTTGTTAGTAATGGGTGGTTGTATTATTGGATGGGTTTCCTCTGTTCAGTTGCCCTTTGTATGCGTATCGACTCGACGGCACATGTCTCTCGGTTCCGGGCCGTTTCTACTGCAAAATGAATAATTCAAGGAGCCAAGATCTGCGATGCCGTGGGGGACGATTTTATATGAGGGGAATCCACGGGAGTTGACGGCTATACCGAGCAAAAATTTCAGACCTCGAGATAATACATCATGATGTTTCAAAACTATACGCGTTTTCTCCTGCCATTGCGAATCTTGCCAACGTTCCCATTGCCGTGTCAACTTGAAGCCTGAGTCTCGGCGGTGCGCGAGCTTGAAAACTCCGAGTGGACCACTGATCTCGATGAGCAAGGAACATCCAAATACAACGTTTATCGAATCCGTAATGGCAAAGGGTGGCCAGAGGCTTATGGCAAGTTCGGACAATGGCATATTGATGTCACACCTGTTCGGCATCGCTCTTGATATCTCGCCACTGTTGCTTCCGACAGTTATAACCAATGGGCGGGCTTTGACAAGGAGAGCTTAGTGGAACATGATCACCAATAAGAGAGACAAGCGTCTCAATTGTATAGTGTACTTGCTGCCAGACGTGTGTGTTAAGTCCGGCGGCTACTAGAGACGATACGTAGGTGCAGTAGAAGGGACGAAATAGACATTCTAATAAGGTTTTCCGTCAACGTTCCACACTTATCCTGTTTGTCTTGTCGGGAGACGAGGCATATTTGTGGAAATTGGTTTATGATATCAGGCATGAGTAAGCATCATCTACAGGCTTCTGATGATCCTACGGGACCGAGGATCTGCTAGTTTGTGACATTGGATGGCGGCTTCCTTTAAATGAACTCCATAAGGTGTCTGATGAATGATACGATGAGGTTCTCATTGTCTGTAGGACATCGTTACTAACGAAAGGTGTTTGGTGCTCGTCTAGAACCGGTAACACATGGGTAAGGCCGTCTCGGGGAATTAGGCCAACCGACACTTATATAACAGAAAGGCTCTGGTCATTGTGTTACTGTCTCCTCCAAGTGCGTTGACAATACAGTTTGATGAGAGTCAAGACAACTCGAGTGACGGCGCGCACTCGTTGACTATCAGTACTTCCACCGCTTTAGATCTAAAACTGGAAAAGTCATAGAAATCAAGGGGAGATTGTAAAAATGGTTCCCGCCTGTCCTCAGATATCAAAACCAAGTTGGAGAGGACTTTCACAAATATTGTCATATATACCTGGGCTACCGAAGAACAGGACTGAACAAACTTACGGGCATTGATACGATAGTATAGTCAGTCTGACGAAATCCACGGCAGTAAAGGAGCGACTTGTTCCTCTGTCACCAGTTACGACAGTCAAGTAGAACTAAGGCATCCCAGCACAATACTTGACGAGGCAGAAACAAGGTGGAATCAGCCATGACGTACTCAGAGCCAGAAAGAGAACACGACAACCAAGATAGATACTCCACGTAGGACGATGCGTCACGGGATATAGACGAGATGTGTTGTCAAAGGATGGTATCACAAAGCCCAGGTCTGACAATGGCCCGAGGGTTCTCGTGGTCGCCGTGATACACTGTTGGTGAACTTGGAAAAAGGCATGCCGTGAACGCATTGGACACTATGCGATGGCTTGTTGGCGGTGCGGGCGAGGCTAATAGTATAGTGAAGCTGAACTGTTGTAGTTCGGGGCATAATAGTTGTGACGTGTGTCAGGAACTGATCAATGCTAAAGCCTATTGATCAAAGTGCAATCAGAAACAAGGCCCTAAGTGACGGTTATCGTTCTAGAAGGCTTCGGGGAAGCCGAAGCATAGATTACCTACCTATCCAGCAACACCTTGTAATTTATGACATTTGAAGTTCTCGTGACAGCTGCAGCCAACACGGAGCTACCTTCTACTATGAATAAAGTAGCGGTGGCATAAGGTTCTGACAGCAAACTGCCATTGATTGTGCCTCACATGAGTCAGTCAGCCTTGGCCATGCCATGATGTTACTGAAGAGGCTGGGTCTGGGGAAATAAGAGTGGTATGGTCATTGCTTGTGATGATGTGCATTAGAAGGATTTGGAACCACGCTAGGTGACCATCAGTAGCTGGGAGAAGGTTACCTTGGCCGATATCTTTGCTTATTTTACAACAGTGAGTGAGGTTGGCCGATCTGAGCTGTCAAACCAACGCGTCAAGCACAAGATCCGTGATGTCAAAGATCGAGGCATGAATGACTTTCAAGATTCGAAAGTCACTTCGAGATGTAAACAATGCTTTGACGGAAAGTACCAGGCGAAAATTCACCGCTGTTGGCTGCTATGACTCTTTGCATTGTTTTGGCAACACAAACAACAATGCATTCATTCATTGCATCCTCAGGTCGTGATTCACAACTGAAGCAACCAAGAGCCTGACCGTCATTTCCAAGTCCAAGCTTTGTCACCGCCTGCCTTGACGTTCGGTGTTGACGCCACGATCGTAGTCGTCATACTCAGCCATGTCGAAAGAGTCGCGTGCCGCCATCCTCGGCTTCTATTACTTCCTTGACCGTATCCAATTGGATCCATATCCTGGCTTGAAACGAGATCGTGAAACAACTGCGGAATACGCTAGCGGCCCTATAGCCTCAATTGGACCTGGAGATGAAGAAGCCGGGTCATGCTTATGCTTATGCTACTCCGTACACAGTACGACGTTTGGGAGTGCACGGGTCTTTAGGAGGCAGAACCTTCTGATGAGCCTGACTTGATTCTGATATGGCTTGCGAATGATGTTATGATGAATGTGTACCTGGGAGGAATTCTCCGACCACGATTGATGTTGGTATTGCTCAGCCTGGAGATGAAACCCATGTTATATCCCTTAGGAATCCATTAGACAGATGAAGCGTATCAACAGGGGTGTCAGCAAATCAAACAGCTAGTATCAGAGGTACTTCTTACAGTAGCTAGCTTTTAGTATTAATTAAAGTATTCTTAATACTGCATATTGCAGATTAGTACTTTAATTCTCACCAGATCTTGCCCTAGCTACAAGTCCCTCAGGCAAATTGATCAGCAGCCAATCAATACTGGAGCAGATTCCACTTAAATACGCTTCATCTGTCTAATGGATTCCTAAGGGATCTAACAGAGTGGCCCAGCATGTCTGTTTATGATTGGCTGGAACTCTGCAATTGATTGGAAGTTGATGCCTGTCACTTCATGTCAGGAACCCGTGCAAGCCGTGGCATTGCCGAGTCCGTTTCTGGAGTGTCGCAGAATGGAACTTGATGTGGTGGTTCCGTTGCCTTGGGCGCTTTGTTTGATGCATTTCAAGCTCAGATCAGACGAGCTCAAGTTTGGATCCGGTCATGATCTGGTGATCCAACCATGAGCAGTCTCTTCATGTCTTGATTTAGCATTAGATCGCATCGTCAAAACGACCAAAGCAACGCATTCCTCTGCCATAAACTTGTCGCATTTGCCCCTGAATGCAACCCAAAAGCCTATCTGATAATTCTGATTGTTGGCACTCACTGGTGCGACTTTGCCGCATCAAATCTCATTTCAGCGACTTCTTCAGCAATCAGTGCCATTCACTCCTCGGGCCAGGTGACCCGTCCCGGAACGGAATGCAACCTCATCGACCATTTGCCATCCATCCGCAGCATCCATATCCGGCCATGCCGATTAATAACACAGAGGACGTACATAGCCTTTTGCTCTGAGTGAAGAAAAAGCCGTTGTGAACCCTGGATCCTTGCTTAATCTGGAGCTATCCACCCCTGACTAGGTACTCGCGTGGCTTGCATTTGAAGAGCCATTCTGCACCCATTGTGTCTTATTGTCGTCGCATCAGAAGACTTTAAGACCCAATGATGAAGGGAAATCTTGATGGGCGGTCAGAGAACCTATTGAGGAATGTGCTCTACCGAGTCTATCTTGATCGAGGAGGTGGCTATCAAGAGATCTGCATTAATATAATTCTAGAGGCTGCTTGAAGGCACATCTTAAGGTTATGGTTGGTATTAGCATCACCAGACTCAGCTTACTATTCCACAATCTGATTGGTGCGCGATCCACCAACTGCCCGAAATGTCATACTCATTTCCATATCCATTCGAATTGAGTGAAGGCGTTTCTATTTCGGCGCCCTGCAACGAGCGCTCAATCCCTGCGCCGCCCGAGTCTTGCGCCCTCTGACCGTTTCCAGGACAGATCATCAGGTGGCTCGACCGCGTTCCTCTATTGTTTCTTGTCGATGGCATGCCTCCTTCTCCAAAGACTCGAATTCTGAAACAAACCAAGCTCGGAAAAAGAGGATCCCATCCCCTTAGACTTGGACTGCCTCGTCACCTTTTGAGTCTTGACCCTTGGATCCAAGCTTTTCGCTCATCTCACCGCCCTGTTCCTGGTCATATCCTTGTCTGTATCGATAAACTCCTGTTTGCGTGGTCTTCTCTAACTCGGATTTCGCCTTAACCCCCCTTCTCCACATCTTCCAGAACGATACAACACTTGTGTTTCCAACTTCGGCCCTGGACGCTGCTCTAGCATTGACCATCTTCACCTCTTACCTACACTTTGTTGCGAGACACACACATATTAAACCTCCCCCCTCCCCTCCAAGTCTGCCCGTCATGTCAACTGCCGCTCAAGAAGAGTTTAACGACCTAGTCGCCAAGAACACATACCGCGAAACCCTCCACCCTGAGGACCGTGACGACCCCGATCTCAAGAACCAACTAGATCTTTCCGAAGAAGACGTTTTCCGTAACGCCCAGATCGATAACGCAATGCGCATGCCTACTGTCGATCGCCTCACCGGCGCTGGCGCCTCTGAGATCAAGCTCCCTCCTGTCTCTTTCGACAGCGGCCGCGCTACTGGCGTCAAGGGAGTCATTGCCGATGCGCGAAACTACGAGGCTGCCCGCAAGAGCAAGTGGCGACACCGAGTCCGCACTGCCCGCAACAGCATCTTTGGCATTGAAGCTCCCACTCCCGTCAAGAGCGACACCGAGAGCAGCGATGACGATGCGAAGAGCGCAAGTGATGCCGACGAGGAGGCCTTCCTTGCCGAGTGGCGCGAGAGCCGACGACGTGAGCTTGAGAGCGAGGCCAGCCGATCTGTCAGAAATCGACGAACAAGTCCCAGTGTACGCATCTACGGCCGATTGGATGAGGTCGATGCCCTCGGATACCTCGACGCCATTGAGAAGGTCGGAAGGGAAACCACTGTTGTCGTGTTTGTGTATGATCATGAGGTATGCTTTGATCCGCCGTTCCTTTAACCAACATCATACTAACTCGTTCAGTGTGAGGTCTCTGCTACTATCGAGTCAGCACTCATGCCTATTGTCAAGACTAACCCTGAGGTGCACTTCGTCAAGGTCCACTACGAAGAGATCGAATTTGATAATGCTGCCGTGCCCGCTATGCTCGGATACCGAAACCAAGGTGACCTGTTCGCCAACTTGACAGGCCTAATCGAGATGATTCCTGACGATGAGACCTTTGGCACTTCATCATTAAAGCAACTACTACAAAGACACACTATTTTATAATGTGCTGGGTCATATCATCTTCGTTATACCTTTACCACCTTAATGCGGCCACGTCTACGACACACCATCATTATACTATTCCCATGGACATAACTCCAAGTTGATGTCTTTGATTTTGATACCCAACCATGGCGTCAGGTCTACCTCGGAGAGGAAGACACGCTTAAAATTTCTTATGTTTTATTGGCAAATACGTTTTTTCGTTGGAATATGAATGTAGCAGCAGGAGGAAGAGCTAGAATACTGGACCTAGCTCACTTAGCTGAGAGAAGAGTGCACGAGCATAATGCAATGACATTGGAGCTTCTGGATAGAATTTGGACTTTTGCAATGCAGATAGAGATACCCTCCTACCTTTATGTGGACATGTAGACATTGGGGTACTTGGGATAAGTTAATCGTTATGGGAGAAAGCGATTGAATTCCCATAAATATATCATTTATACTACCTTTCTTGACTTTGGCAAGGCCACTCTTTTAGTCTGGTGTGCCGAGAATCGGATGATACATGGAAGCATAGTAAGCCAGGAACAGTGACGGGACGGGGATAGCAATATCCTAAATCAAGACGTTAGCTTACCCAAACGATGGGCTCTGATCCCTATTCTTCATCAGCTTATCCCTTGGATAAAGCTGATATATATGCCATCTGGTGTTGTGACGCCTGAGTGAGCAGATTATCCAACCAGGTGTGCCATTGAAAGGGCAACAATAGGACGATTGGTCCAACCAAATGCATCTTACCTCATGCTGCCAATATCGTATACGTATGAGAATAATATTCTGACATGGGGCTGCATCCTATGGCGTTTGTTGGCTACCTAGGTAGCTATTGTTGGTTTTGGGCATCGTATAAGTAATTGGACAACATGAACCATAGCGGTGAGAATGGTGTAATTAACAAGCTCACGAAATGACTCTTCTATGAGTCTTATCTCGCGCTTAAATACTAGTAGTACCGATATAGAAGAAAAGAAATCGGGTTCGGCGGTTAAGTCTATCTCGAAACTGACCTGACAGCCCAACAGATGAGACGGGAGGTTTGCTCACGAGGTCTAATGAGTGGGCTATTTCAGCCCGAAACAGAAGTATCATACCCCGCAGTTGCGCTAAGAGGTCACGACGGTTCATGGTGGGGGTTGCAGGGTTCGATAGTGCCATGCATAGCGATAAGCCCTTAGAGACGTAGGAAACTGAATATCAAGAGACGTGTCACCAGGAAGCGAGAAACAAACAGGGCAAAGAGAGTTTAAATGACCAAGTGGTACAAGATATGTGACTCGAAGAAATATTTCCACTTTTGCAGACTTGAAAGTTCACAAAAAGCTTGAAACTTTGCAGGTTGACTTGGGCAAATCCCCCCTGGAGCTGTCTCCCTATCTAAATGGGCGTGAAATGCATGGATCCTCTTTGGTGCTAGCAGGGACCCCAGTTTAAGTGACGACAACGAGGACGGGAAAGACATCAAACACATCACAACAACCTCGAGAGGTGGTGAATAGATGATTCAAATTGCTTCATTGCTTCTATACAAAGAAACAAAGGGCTGAAGCTGAAGCTTATAGAAGCATATAGGGAGGAGAGTACGTATTTTAGGTTCAGGACGACGCCATAATTCAAGGCATCTGTCATGTAAGCTCAAGCTCAAAGCGATCCACAGCTGGGTTACCTGCAGCTTGAGTGAGGGAGTGAACATCTATTTCGTCTGCCTTATCCATCCATCTTCTTCTGCTTCGTCTTCTCTACTTTCTCCTGCCCCTCAACATCACCTGCTCTTGGTTCTTTGAGCTGTCTATCTACTACGAAAAGAGCCCCTTCTTCTGACACCAGCAAAGGGCATACACTGTGATCTTATCAGCTTCGAAGCCCGAGCTTATCCTCACAACCCGAACCCCAGACTGTGCGCCATCATCATACATAGGTAGTCAGTAGCCCAGCGACACATTTCATCGCAACAACACAACACAACAGGAACCTTTGGATTTGAGTTTTTGACCTCAGCAACACGCCGACTTTCTATTTGACCAACCTCTGCCACGTAAAGTGCACGCAATAGCCAAATCTCCACCTCTTTTTGGCTGCCTTGCTCTTTGGCCATAGACAGACAGCCCCAGGCAGCGAAGCAGGCCAAGCTCAGTCTATACGCCTTCGCCAACATTGGACCTCACGGACCCGGAGCAACCTGGAACAACGATACTTCCAGACTGCGTTGAGACAACATTTTTGTGACTCCGACTTCGCCTGTTAGTTCTCTTCTCTTCTCCTCTGAACTCAGTCTTTCCACAAACACAAAACAAGAATTCATTCACATCTATTCTTCCACAATATTCCTCCAGGCTTCCCCCCGCCATCACTGTCCTACGCAGACCCCCCTTCCCCATTATCCGGCCTTCCGCTCACCCCTCACCTTATCCTCCCACCTCGCTCTCACTTGCCCCTCGCAATCCGACTTCACCTGACGCCTCATCGTATTATCCTTCGCAGGTTGCTTCTTGCTATGAAGCTTCTGATGGGATAGAACCTGGTTTTACTGTATCTTCGCATCGTTATGGAACAGCAGGACCCTGATACTCCATCCACTCCTTCTGCCGTCCACCGTGATACTGAACAACGATCGACTCGCCAGTCCCCATCGTCATCATCCTCGACCTTTTCGCTTACACCAGCTCCCCAGCGTCGAACCTCGAGCCCCTTGTCCCGTCCGACAACACCGGCAACGCCTAGTCCGAGCACAATATCACCGAACCGAAGTTCTTTGTCTACTTCTGAACCTACTCTACGATTTCCTCGCCCCCAAGGCAATCGGCATCTCGCCAACTGGATATCGTCCAGTAATCCAGACATCATGCGTATCACTACCACTACTGAGGACACTGGCTTGTCCGAGTCCACTTATGAACTAATCTCGGGCACCGATACCGAGTCTCAGGACGGAAACTACACTGAGTCTATCAGCGAGTCTGTCGGCTCCCTCGACGTACACTACCCCGAAGACGTTCATAGCCTCGCCGGCACTGAGCAGACATGCGATGACGAATCTCTTGCCGATGAGAACGAACCCCCCGTTTTACAGTCTCTACAAGAGTCACAGGCCGCGTCTGTGTCTGAATCTATGGACATAAACGAGACTCCACGAGCAGAGCAAAGCTGGGCCTCAGTCGTAAAAAATGGCCCTCTTCCCGAGGTCGAGGCAGAAATCGAGGCGGAAGAAGAGCCCGAGCCCGAGCCTGAGACTGATGCCAAAGCCGAGCCTGAATCTGAGTCAGAGGATGAAGCTCGATCTCGAAGCTCTCTTGAGTATACTCAACAAAGCCTCAAAACCCCATCGATCCCTAGCCCCGACGCTAGCATGACTGAAGACAGCCAGAAGCCGTCTCCTGATGATGTTGAAGAGCAGGCAGAGAGCCAGCGAGCGCGATTCAACAAATGGTTGAATGAAGTTCAGCCCCATACGGTCCGTCCTCGGGAGGCAATGATCAAATTCGCCAAATCTATCTTCCCTGCGGTCCTCGCCCTTGTCTTGATGTCGTTGATCCGCACCTGCTACACTCCACTATCGAAAGATGTAGTACCCCACATACCCGCAGCCACCTCCGCTGTCACAACTCACCCCACTCTGTTGACTTCAAGTTATACTTCATTGCCAACTTTGCCGGTTGTTTCAACCTCAGCGGGACCTACAGGTCTTGTACCTCTTGAGAACCTCCGACCCGATGAGTGGCTCTGGGGTGCCAAGCAGCCCGAGGTGACTGTCACCAGACAGCGAGGTGGCTTTTTAATCCACATGCCTCGAAGTGCTAAGAAACTATGGCTTGATCGTGACTGTCTCAAGTTCGATGCCAAGCGAGGTGATCAATCCGTTGGATTCGGTACCTCATCCGTCGACGAAGGCATTCTTCTCAAGATCCCCAAGGAGGAATCCTATGGAACAATCAAGGTTGACATTTTCACTACTTGTCGACCCAAGGTTCACAAGGTCCTTCGTATCGTATTCCAGAAGGGCATTATCTCAGAAGCTTTGGACTCGACCTGGGCCTTTGCACAATACTTCCCAGAACTTGTCCCCGCTGCTGCTCAAGAGGCAGAACGGTGTCTCGAGGAAGCCAAACGCTCCTTGGGAACAGCCTCTGACAACTTCATGAATACATCTGACAGTTTCTTCAAGGACTTGGAACACAGATTCCAAAAGGCCCACCGATCTTTGAGCTGGATCAAGGCCGATATCAGAGACCGTGCCAAGTTAGCGACGGAGGGCATTTCGAGACAACTGGAGGTTGTTGTGGGCGACGTCAAGCTGTACATGCCTGACACGCAAGCGATGCAACAACAAGCAAAGTTGGATTTGCTGAATGCTCAGATCCAAGCTAGGCTCTGGTGGATCAAGTACACTGCAGGAGAGAAAGAGTATACTCGCTACCAACGTGCGGCCAAGCAGTTCATGGCCAAGAAACTTGCGAACGACAGAAAGCTTCGAAAGGCTGCGAACAAGACCATTAAGGCGTCTTCTTTCGAACAGTTCTTCCGTGCTTGGTCCTCAAAGAACCGTCGCGACACCGGAGAAGGACAGAGGGTATAGTGGCAGAAAAAGGACCCTGGTTTGTGTGTTATGGCGCAAGGTTTTCTCTTTCCATGTTATTCCCCCTCATCATTATGGTTGGACGAGGACTTATATGTCAAGGATGGACTTATTTTGGTAACGCTGAGGTATGGGTTTAGTTGGGCCGGTGGTGGATTTGGAGTTCATGGGTCTCATACCATCTGTAGACGTCTTTTTTCTATTATGGTTGCTCTTTCCTCACTTTTATTTCTATGATAGTCAACGGTATCGACGAACCTCTTTCACGAGCTTTGAGTGTCTTATTTTTAAGCGGAAAGTGATTCGTTGTTGGCGTGGTGAGTTGCCTGTAAGATCAGAACGAAAAGGAAACCAACTATAGTCAGGTAAATACAATAATTTACTTCGTCTCATCTCATGAATCGTATCACTTATCGGTGGAAATGAGCACTACAGTCAGTCTTTGGGCAGCAGAACTAAACAAATAGAAAGTGTCGTGAAATTATTGAATGGCCTCGGAACTAAATATATATTGCAAAGTGAAGCCGCTAATACAGGTTTGAATAGACGGTAAAATTCTCAATAGGTAATGTACATAAATTAGTCTTTACTCAACATGCCCTTATTCTGAACCACTAACATTCACGACATATTGTTCGAGTATTGCCGTGGTTCATAACGAATATACCAAATCCTGCACTTTAAGCCCCACTCAATGAGTTACTCCACAGGCAATCTTGCAAACCCTGCTCGATTGCTTGCTTCGAGGCCTAGCAAGTATCTCTGCAGCTAATAATGAACTGAGAGGTACTTTGTCAGAGCTCAAAGTGGTCCCCAATCACCAGGTAAGGTACCATTGTTGACTTTTGCCGCAGAAGTTCTTGCAGCAGTGGAGGGGGCACAACAGCCCAGGGGAAAAGGAGGGGCAGTTCAGTTTTTTTCAGTACCTACCATAGGGCGGCAGGACGGCAGCCTGACGGACAGACAACCTAAGGTAACTAAGCCCAAGTGAAAACAAATCACCAGACCTTGACCGCAACCCACTTCCGCCATCTACTTTCCATACATCCATCAACACCACAGCATAAACTTTCAATACCGTCCCTTGCGTTCCCGGAAGCATCTTCCTAATTACATCTCGCTTATCTGGTAAGTCTGATGGCACGCTTTCCTCTGTCCGGCTTTTGTCCCTTTCTCCCTCCCCATGAGACGCTTGGGGCAATAAAGGTCCTGAGCCCCTCCTTACCTGAGGAGGGGTAAAAAGCATGCCTGCGGGACCTGGGATCCTGGATACGCAAAAAAAAAGTTGCTGACGTCTGAGGGGCAACAGAACTTCGAGTTTATTCTCAACCGAACACGCAAACCATCAAGATGTCTGCTTCCGAGCCCACCGAGCCCAAGGTTGAGGAGACCAAGCCTGAGGAGACCAAGCCCGCTGAGGCTGAGAAGCCTGTCACATCTTCGTCTGTCTTCTCCATGTTCGGCGGTGGTGCTAAGAAGGAGAAGAAGGAGGAGGAGGAGCGTGGTGACAACTCTGGCAGTGCCAAGGCCCAGCGAGAAGCTGCTGAGGCTGCCAAGGGTGACGAGGTACGTTCGCATGTCTCAGCAGTGGCATGCTGGAACCGTATCCCCGCGAAACGTATGAGGCTAACAGGAATACTTAAATAGGAGGAGGCTCCCGAGTCCGAGGATGTCCACTTCGAGCCCGTCATCAAGCTGACCGAGAAGGTTGACACCAAGACCAACGAGGAGGCCGAGGAGCAGACCTTCAAGATGCGCGCTAAGCTTTTCAAGTTCGTCAAGGAGAGCAGCGAGTGGAAGGAGCGTGGCACCGGCGACGTTCGTCTGCTCAAGCACAAGGAGAACGGCAAGACCCGACTTGTTATGCGTCGCGACAAGACCCTCAAGGTCTGCGCCAACCACTACATCGTCCCCGAGATGAAGCTCTCCCCCAACGTTGGCTCCGACCGAAGCTGGGTGTGGAACGCTGCTGCCGATGTCAGCGAGGGTGAGCCCGAGGCTGTTACTCTGGCTATTCGATTTGCCAACGCTGAGAGTATGTTCCACCGGTCAACGAACTCCGGTAAAGGCAAACGCTAACTGATTTATAGATGCCAACAACTTCAAGGACTCCTTCATGAAGGCCCAGAAGGAGAACGAGGAGATCTTCAACAAGGCTCAGGACGCCGAGGCTCCCGCTTCCTAAGCAGCCTATCTCATACGACCCCTCCCCTTCCCCTGCCCCTTCGGAGATGGATCTGTATATCGCCAGAGGCTCCCACTCGTTCGTAGCTCCGCGATTTACAGAAGCAAATCCACTCCAACACTCCCATATAGCATGCCACAACAGAACAGCAAGCGAGCTCCTTATACTGCTGAGGACGCTTGGCCCGTCACATATACGCGCGCACTTCACCCACGCCACAACACCAACTCCCGAGTCTGTTTTTGATATGGATAGATAGAGATTCCTAGGACGGAAAGGATTTTTTTATTTTTGAGGTGAACGGCCTCGATTCAGCCCCAGGGCGGATTGGTGGATGGATGGACGGATGGATAGTTAGCATCATAGGAACATCATATCACATAGCACCCTGTTGAAAGAAGTAAAAGAAAAAAAAAATTCCATAGACATCTTGTTTATTACTAAGTATATAAACGAATTGTTCGTGACTCGAATTTGATGAGTTGTGGGCGGTCGATGTGGCTGATGTTGGTGTCGAGGTTGGAGCTGTGGCTGGTGAGTCTCACCGTCATGTTTGCTCTAGTTTCCTGGGTGATGAGGACTCGAGTTGATATGACGAATAATAGTGCTGTTTGAGTGTATGTTGGATCATGGTACAGCTGTCCGCGGTATTGTGCGCGCCATTAATCTGGAAGCCAACCGGGTTGTCATTTGTTCGTTGGGTGTTATGGAAGAACTAACATGCCACTGTCGACATTCCCCTACTGGCAGATTACACAGTCTACAAACAGAGTTGGCAGTCCAGAATAGAGGCCTGACTTTGAACTCCTCTTGTATCATATCTGTTCCCATTGGTATATTCACGTCATTGGGAAACCCAAAGAACGGAATGAGGCTAGGGAGGAAAGAAAACTCAGGACCTTGATCATAAATGACAAAAAGACTCAGGTAAATTAGCATAAGCTTAGGATACCTTTTGCTGAGTTTATCTGGACACCCTATATCAAGGTCCGATGTTTCTTGCTCCTCGAGGTGAGGTGAGGCAAGACATGACGAGCCAAGAAAAAGCATGAAGGCCAGGTAACTTTGTGGAGCCAGCAATTCAGTGTGTCCTGTGCCCTGGAACCTGGAACCTTTCCCCTATAAGCGCAAGACAGGAGACAAAAACAATTCACGTCTTGGGCTTCGCGTCGAGTCTGTCTAGGTATAATAGTAGATCGATCAGCTTGTTGCTTCTAAGCCCTCGCGCCTTGAACTTCTTCTTTCTTTTGCTTCCCTTGACTTGTATTTCCTTGGTACAGAGCTCATTTCAGAAAACTCGTGTCGTCTGCCTTGTTAATCGTCAGTTTCTTTCCATGTTAGCTTGAGGTACCAGTAGTAGACTTGACTGCGCCTGCCCCGGGGGCCCATAGGTACCTAGGTAGGTATCCTTACCTTAGTACCTTAGTAGGTAGGTACGAGCAGCATTTCTCTGCCCTGCCTTAGTAGCTGCCCCGTCCAACCAGCAACTAGCAACCAACTGTCTCCTGGGCTGTCTTTGGCTGTACAGGCTGGCGTGTCTCCGTTTTCCGCCGCCGTTTCGTTTCCAGTCCCATCCATTCGTTCACTTCATTTTCAACTGCTGTACCTTGCCTTTGGCCGTGTCGTCTTTGTAACTCGACCCGACGCATCACATCCTTTCCTCATCACTTGTGTGTCCCTGTGTATCCACGTCCATCTTCTTGGCTGTTCCCGTCTCTACCTTATCTTCCAAATCTGCCCTCCACGTTTGGTTACCTAACTTCCAATTGCTGTTTATTGACCTGGAGAAAAGATGTTGGTCGAGGTGAGTTTGAAAATCCGATCCAATCCAACCCAGTCCAGTCCAATCCTCCCCCCGAGTCGCATTGCCCTGCTCCTTCGACGTGTATTCGGATCATTTTAGCCCCCTTGGGCTGCTGTACTCATTCATGTTATTGCTTCGCCGTTTTCGCCTCTTGCTGTAGTCGCAGCCTTTCTCTACCTACCTTGGCTTTCTTTCCTGTCTTTGGGTGCTTGATTTGTCCTCGGTTGTGTCAAGTCTGGCTTTGTTTCGCTTCACGGTCAAGTGTGTCGCGCGGTGAGGCTCTGCAAAAGATTGGTCGCGGTCTAGATGTTCGTATCTGTCTGCATCTGCATCTGCATCTGCATCTGCATTTGCATTTGCATTTGCATTTGCCAGTGCTAGCCAGTGTCCGTGTCAGTGACAAACGGTGACAAGCGTCACGCGTTGAGGTCGGACAGCTAAAGACAGAACATCGGCCATGGACGCCCATCCATGATGCTTTCTATTTGGCAGCTGTAGTGTCCGTTAAGGCACTGACTGATTGGTCTCGCCTTGATGTTTGCCTCTGTGCTGTTGCACTTCAATGAGCCCGTTTGCTGCGCGTTGTTGCAGCCTCATTCTCATATTCCACCAGTTTCTGTCACGCACTTTACCACGCCTTTGTGTCTCTTCTCTACTCTCATTCCATGCCTACACTGTGCGCCAGCGCGTCTTGAACTTACTTCATATATTTGAGGTTTTGTGTTACCGTGTGACTTTTATTGCCCACCTGCTAAGCTTCCCACATCTCCAAACAACTGCGCACTACACTCCAACAACTCATCATCATGGCTCCGCGCCGCTCACGAGCAGCACCCGTCAGAGTGACACTTAGAACCAAGGCTAACTTTTTGGAGCGCAAAATCAGAGTTGTCACCGAGCAACATGTCATGTAGGTTTGCGCCAATCTTTTCCAACGTCTCGGCTGCTTTCCTTGAATCGCGTGCCTTCTTGATCAAGACCTGCTTCAGAAGCGATTCGAGCAACATGTTTTCAGGTACTGACAGTCGTGTTTTATTAGCGACAAGCCGTCACCCGTAGAGGCGTTCCCCATGCGAGAATGGAGCTTGAAGGTCTTCTTGCTAGATGAAGATGGCAACGAGCGCCCCGCAGACGTCTTCACCAAGGTCGTCTATAATCTACACCCTACCTTTGATAACCCCGTTCAGAGTATGTTTGAGACGAATTCCTGATATTCCGAGGCAAAGCATGATAATTAACAACTTTGCGCCACCTACCAGGCTTCCAGAAAGCACCCTTCACGTGTAAGAACGAGGGCTGGGGCGAGTTCGAGATTAGCATCGACTGTTACACCACGGAGAAGACCAAGCTAGCACCCATCGTTCATGATCTCAACTTCCAGCAGGACCGATATGAGCAGACGCACACTGTGGTCTTCAAAAACCCTTCACAGAACTTGCAGGAGCGCTTGCGTGAAACCGGTCCTCTTCCCACCGATGACGACCACAGGACCAAGAAGAAGGGACTTGCGACCAAGAAGAGCTCCCAGAAGTACGACTACGAGAAGATTGCAGAGTCCCTGGAGAAGCTCGAGGAGGAGGATCTGCTGCGTGTGATTCAGATTATCAACGAAAACAAGGGACCAGACACGTACATTAGAAGTGATGTCGAAGGTGAGTTCTCCCATCAAGTTTGTATCACCACTCCTACTCTTGCACTTTCCTTTACGTTTGATTGCAATCCATCCTTGTCTTTTCCATGAAATTGATGTGTATGGTGGGCTAATAGTGGATGACTTGGTTAAAGCCGGAGAGTTCTCGATTGATCTCTACACTATGCCGGATGGCTTGACGTCGAAGCTTTGGGATCACCTTGTAAGTTTTCCTGGCGGTCGTTGCTGAGCGTTTCGTGATTACTGACCACGTAATAGTCCAAGAAGGGCCTTGTCGGCTAGATGTCCATGTAGACGTATCCGATTGTTAATACCTCTAATGTCATTCCGTCGACAAATCGGTCTATAGTTTGTGCTTGGGAGTTGCTGAAGCATCTGGATTTAGGAAAATGACGAGTTAATGAGCACGGAGGGGACGGACCAGAAAGGGAAAGGGAACCAAAAGATGTATCTGACCTTTTTTTTTCTTTGACCATGTGTTCCAACGGAGTAATCACCTGCAGTACCACCTCATTGAAAGTTCTGTATAATTTGCCGTCATGTTGTCTTGATCGCCTCCCAGATATAATGATATGACAGGATGCTGTAACAACGCCGTTGATGGATGGACGTCGGATTTCGGGCCCGGGTGATGAACATTGAGGGAGAACTGGCCAATAAAATCGAGGCTTGGCTCGGCTTCGGCCGGTCAGCTCAGCGGACCGGATCGATCATTTCAATCGGGTTGGTCATTGAATCTTGCCGTTTTCTCGTGGGTGGAGGATGTAACGGAGTGCCGTGTCAGTACGGATGTTGCCCGGACTGGCTACTGGATACCCGAGGATGTGCGTCTCGGTGCAAACGCTACATGGTGGTTGAAACCCGATGACGAACTTGAGGATGTCAAATAACACAAGTAGGTTGAAGCATGAGGCGACAGACGGTCTCTTATGCCTCCCAGGCTGATCTCGTCGTAAATCGAGGATTACTTGGGCAATATGGTATTATAACATCTGCCGCTTCTTAATCGCTGGGTTCAAACAATCAAGACCCAAGGTCCTGGTTGGGAGTATTCAAGTCATGGCTCTCTGAATCTCTATGACCTTGGTGTTAATATTCAACAGCCAGCTGCACATCAAAATGCCACTTCTGTTAGAACACACCATCATCGGCCCCCTTCAGATCATCTACAAAATCGCGCCCCTCACAACTCCCAACTACCGGTCCGGCTGAGACGCAACTCTTGGTGATGACTTGGTGAGCCGCATCGGCACTTATGGGACTTGAGTAGCAGTGACACCTTGATTGAGGAAGTGAGCGGGGATCTGTTTGCACGGGTTCCCCGGCAGTGACGGAAAGATGGACACGGTGGAGGACGAAGATAAGCAAGCGAAGCGAGGAGTAATTCTCCGCCTGAGTGCGTTGCTGTTACGTACGCATCGTGGCAGGGGTCTTTTGGTGGTTTACACGATGGCAAGCGATAGGGCGTCGTTTGGTAAGATATCAGAACAGCTACTGCAAGTTGGGCGTTTTGTAAGCCACGTTCTTGAGCTCCCGTCCGACGTT